GCCCTCCGTTCTCCGCCCTCCAGTATGCGTATGTGTGCTACTGGGCAATCTCTAAGCCGTATAAATATGCCATCGTCTGAGGACAATCTACTAAAACCATCGGATTCGGATTCGACTCAGTTCGCGTGGCGTTCTACACGGCCCAACCCAAAAACAAAATGGAACACACACAGAGAAACGGGGAAAACAGGGAATTGATTGAATTACCCATCAACTTATCTAACTTTCCTGAGCCGAATTGGACTAGATTGGGGGTTACCAGAACTTTGTCATTAGAACTCCAAAGACAAAAATATTATAATAAGAATTGGGAAATATTGACTGGCTATGAGAGGTGGAAATGCGCAGGTATATTAACATAAAACTAATTGGCATAATGGCAAATATTAATGTACGCTTCAATACATTGTTTTCAGTGCCCTTACTGCCAGAATCAGCCTTGCCCCGAAGCCATTGATCGGCCTATAAACAGAGTTGTTCGCTCCTCTTGCCTTGTTATTGCCCCATAGGCAAATCATATAAATTATGCTCAATTTTTTCCTTTTGGCTTTTAATAAGCATAAAAACTTATGATATGTGAAAATATGCGCAACAAACAACAGCAGTCGGGGGGACTGCGGCTATATCGTCCGTGGGGCTGTTTATGTTTCAAAATTGTTTACTTTCTTGTTTTTTTTTTGGTGTTTTTCAAGACAAACACACACACAGTTATGACAGGAGCAGGACCTAACATTGGGCCAGGAATTTATTTAGCTGACAACAGCTTGGTCCACCCGAAGGCTCGAAGGGGTTCCTCGGTATTGTTGAGAATCCTGCCCTGAATCCAAACGCCGAACGTGTCACATTTCCCCTGGGGAGATCCTGGCATGTACTTAAAGTTGAATTTAACTTTGATTTGAGTGGCTCTTCTCGGCTCCCCGAGTGCGGCAGAAAAGTTTCAAGCATTTAATCTTATTGTTAAAGTGGGATGATTGAAAAATTATCATATTTAGATGTAGGTATTTTGGGGGTGTCTTCAAGAAATAGACACTCAATTTTCGTAAATTTTTAATTTATTATTTAGTGTTTAGAATGTTTAATTGTAAAACATATTAAAAGTTAACTTCATTTTATTAGTTTTATAAATAAAAAAAAATGTTCAAAACAATAATTCTATTTTTCCCGAATTCAACATAAGAATATTACTCATACGCACAGTATGATTACGCAGATCTCGCATTTCAAAATTACTGTTTATTAGATAACATAATAATATTGTTATTGTGTAATAATAATATAAATATTGATTTAAGAATCCAAAGTATTTATGTTTCAAGAGTCGAAAACAAAAATATTACTCATACGACATGTGTTCCCCAAAAGACCAAAACTTAGAAACTTGTTTCCGTTCTCAAGTTTGAATATTAAACCAGGTAAAAACTATTAAATTGGCTAAAAAAGACTTTTAATAGATTATCTTTAATCCAATATACAATAAATCCAAACTGTAAAGCAATAAAAAATACACTCCTCTACGAAAAAAACACCATACCAAACTATACGATAATCCGATTTGAAATGAAATTCACACTTTGAATTTGAAGTATTTCTCCATGCTCCACCGACTTCAATTGTGCGAATTGTCATTGAAAATCGCCAACAATTTAAGCTGTGCCCTCGACAATTTCCACTTCCCAAAGAGCAATAGAAGCAAAATTACTTTTCGCTGGAAAATACTTAATACTTAGCCTGGGAGAGACTCCCGTTGAGTTTCCTGCAAATGAAAGATATATTTCCATGAAATTATAACACATTTGGGTTTTAGTTTTTTTTTCAGATGTTTATTTTTATTTTTTATTCACTATGTTTTCTCATTTACTACGCAAGTTGTTTTGCATCGTCGCACTTTTCTTTTTCTGGTTTTCCCATTTTTTGTTGATTTTTTTTGGTTTTTATATAATTTTTTTTTGGTTTTCCGGTTTTCATGTATAAATTTGTCATGTGTTTATGAAAATATAATATACTTATGTACGTTTATGTTAAATGTTTTACAGAATGCTTGGCTCCGTTTTGTTATCCATTGTTGTTTAGTTAGTAACTATGCATTGATTAGCCATTGCGCTTGGGTCTGTCTGTCTGTGTATTGTTTGTTGGTGTTAGTATATGTATTAGTGGTAGTGGTAGTGTCAGTGTGTGGATCATACAAATCAATGGGTTAAGTACAAAATATATAGTATACTCGTATAATGCGCATATATGTTCTATCATACTTATGGTGTTATACCGATGCACTCTTCGAATGGAAACCACGCAATTAAACTGAAGACTTTTGTAAATTCTATATCGATTATTTTGGTTTTGGTTTTCCGCAATTAGCTGCACAATTTTCAACAACTTAGCTTTAAAAAACTACTGAAAACATTTCGCTCGTTATAATTGAAATTGACCGTTTTTTGTTTGTTGGTAAAATTGACTTTCGAGGGCGGGTCCTGGCGGAAAGGTCAATTCAAGGAGTCGCCGCCCTCTCCGCTTTGATCTCGCCCGATTGACAGACTTGGCCAGGACCTGTTTTGTGTGCTTGTGTGTGTCAGTGTGCGATGCCGCTTATGTACATGAATGTCATATACATAATGCATATGTATGTAATTAATAATTTAGACTGCATATATTGCATAATAAACGCATTTATGTCCTTGTGTGTCTCTATATTTATAGTTGTTGTATATTGGATTGCTGTTATATATTCGATTAGCAATAAAATCCATAATTATGTATGCATGTATGTATGTGTATATGTGTGTGTTTTTTTGTTGTTTTTTGTATTTCTAGGTACAGAAGAATTTTCTTTTATTTTCTGGCTCTCTAAGGTGCTGTGTCTAATCATAAGCTTAAATTTATGTCCGCTTTTGTTTCATGTATTGTTAATAGTATTTTTTGCAACTCTACTTTTCTACAATTCTACCATTTTGTTAGTGTCATGTCAGTGTGTGGGTGTCTCTGTGTGAGTGATCTAAATACAAGTTAAAATGATTTATTCTCTACGCAGTAACTCTTGGTTTTTGTTCTCCGTCAGCCATGTCCTTGTGTCTGTCCGTGTAAGTGTGTGGGAGTTGTATAATCGACCAAAATAGGTTCTGTATATTTATCGCAACAATATGCACCTATATGCAAAAACATAAGATGAGTAGTTTCGTAGTTTCTTGGATTTCGTTGTATAAAGTACATCAATTGGTCTCGTCAAGCAGCACAAAAGTTGCGATAACAATATATGCAAAAAACAACTCTACTCGTTAATATATCTGTATATCGATAACTAATAATCGTTAATCGTTAAATCGTTATAATCAATTCATTGTATGCCAGCTAAATCCAAAAATCCCTACGGCTCGTTAATTATTTGTTAGTACATTTTTTTGTTTGCCATTAGCATTTAGCATTTTTGCTTTTTTCGCATTTTATCGTGTAAACTAAATTGTTTATATAGTATTCTGGTTGTTCATGCTATATAGTGTATAGTGCCATAAATGTTCTTGGGTTCCGCTTACTTATCGCAATAATATAACGAATTGCAAATATTTACTCATAGATACATGCGATTTAATACTTTTAGTTACCTTAATGCTCTATTGCTTTCGACTTGCTTTATTTGTTGCATTTTATTGCTGTTACCATAATTGCTTTGCTTTTTGCCTTCTCCGCCTTCGATTTCTTTACCTTTATATATATATATATACCATATACAATATAGCTGTAAATAAGTTAGCTTTTCTCGATTTTTATAATATATATTCAAAGTGTTAAGTCTTTCATTTTTGTTCTCGCTTGCTTATACTCTTCGTTGTCAGCTATATAATTTTCATGCTTTCTTTAGTTTAGTTTATGTTCAATTCTTGAATTATTAGTGTTAACGTGCCAAGTCTTTTTATTTTGTTTTCCCGTTAATTTTTAATCAATGTTTTGCCTGCTCAATAATTTATACATCGTTTTGTGTTGGTGTTGTGTGTTGGGGTGTGGTTTTCAATTCATAAATAAATAAAGCTCGCCCAAACTATGCAAATTAAATTTTACGAATTAAACGATTGCTGAAACCTGGCACCACCTCCTCTTCTATATTATCCTTTTTGCAGTTTCGAGTGGGCGGTGCCCCCACCCCCCAGGAACCCTTCCCCTCCACCCCACTGCCTTATAACCATTTTTATTACATTTTCTTTTGTTCGCATTCGGCTAACGAGCGCTCGTTAAACTGCATTGACACAAAAAGGACAACACAACATTGTGTTGCCACAGATGGGGCGGCAGTGGGTGGCGGGTTCCAGATTCTAGGGCACGGTGTTCTAGAGGGTGGTGTCAGCAACAGATAATGGAAACAATGGATCATGAACCTAATGCTACAAATACTGGATTCAACAATTGCATTTCGGGTTCTGTACAGTGGGAGTGAATGGGTGTGGGTGTCTGTGTGGGTGCGTGTCTATGCTAAAAATGTATCAACTTTAACAATTTCCTTGGCTTAACAATATGTGTCATGGTCTGTGTGCGTGATTGGAGAGTTTCCTTCTCAATCGAACCGTATATGCATGTCTACATAATTAAATATTCTTGTTTTTACACAATTTCCGAGTTTACAAACTTCAAATCTGCTCGCCCCCTCCCTAAATGTTAAATATCCTTTACCACTACGATTTATTGCTTTCGATACACGTTTATTCCTATTTAAAATGTTCCTGGAGCTCAATATGATTCAAAGTTTCTCTCGTTTTCCCACTTTCTCCGTTGAGCAAAATTAATGAACAGCATTTCCGTCATTTCTCTAAATATGTGTGTGGTTGTGTGTTCTCTGTGGACTATCACAATATTCGAATTGCTTTCGGTTTCGGGTTCATTTAAAATCACTCAGCAAAATAATGGTCAGCAAGTGAAAATAAAATCACACAGACTCCAGAGTCCGAACTCAAATCAAATCAAACTAAAAGTATATCAAGCAAATTAAATATTGGCTTTCGTAAATAAAAAACATTTGGTTTTATTCGCATGTAAAGTGTAGGTATTTAATATGTATTTTGTATATTTGTAACTTTATAATTGCTTTTGGTTTTCCCGCTTCTCGTTTTTACAAGTGTGCTTCGATTACTAATTGTAAGTAGTTTCAACCTTACAGTATTTAAGACTAATAAATCGATTAACTCGTTTAGTTAAGTTATTGCTTTACTTTCCGCTCCGCCTTCGGTTCGCCTTCTATACAATTGTTATACAAAATTTTTTAAATTTAATATTATTGCCGGGCTTCAATTCAATTCAACGTCCTTATAATGCAAATTTCATAAATATTCATTACATTTTTGTTTGAGTCGAAATAATAAACAATACCGTATAAAATAATAGGCGACTATTTCTAGGATAACGCTATATATATTATATATAATTAATTGTAGTTGTAATTGAAATAAGTGTAATTGGTTTTCGCCGCTTTTCATTGGGTTATGTTTTTCTTTTTTCAATTGAGTATTTGCTTTGGTACTTTAGCCGATTTAGTCGATTCCGATTGCGATCTCGTCTCGATTATTCGATTAATATTAATCCTTAAGAGTGTTGCCACCTCTCACCTCTTGACGCACTTCCTTCCTCTCCGTTCGCGTCCGCTTCCGCCGAATAACAGTATAAAAATAATTTCGTGATTATATCTAGGTTTAACTTACGGTTACATGTCTGGAGGCTAGCCCTATCTGTGTATATATATGCTTGTAAATATTACGCAACTACATACGTATTCTAGATGTATATATATCTCCGTATATATCTCTCCACTCTAAACATCGCTACAACTAGGGCTACAAAATGTTCGTTGCACTTCTTCCCCACTTCCTCTTTGAGATCGGTTGCTGAAGCTGATTTTCAGTTGAGTATTAATGTCTGATGTATGTATGTGTATATATAGTTATATATATTCTAGGATCTAGTATTTACAATTTGTGCAGCGATTGTTCGTGTATGTGTTTGCCTGTGAGCTTGTGTGTGAGTTCGAAGGATGAATAATGAGTGATGGATGATGAAGTAATGAGTACTGACGAGTAAATGAACAATAGGTACTACAGGTATCATAAGGGGCTAAGTAATATCGTACTAGGTCGGTAGGTGACGAAGGTGCAAAAGTATATTCACGCATGGACGAAGTGTACTGTTAAATGCTTGAGACTAGATCACACTCGATATATTTCTGTCTGTCCTACAATCCTCTCTTGTAGACGGGGGCTCTCTCCGAATCGCTTGAGATCTTTGGTCTTTGGTAGCTGCTGACTGTTATACCTAATTGGGCCTCGAACGGAATCCCTGACTGGGCTTAAACACTGGGAACTGGTGATTCTTTGGTTGAGTAATGCTCTGCTGTTAGACAGCGACTAGATGCTCACTTCCCTAAGGTCTAGAATAAATTAAGTAACTGGGGGAATGTTAATTGACTAATTTTGGCCCAAAAACCCACTTGGCCGCCCTCTTGAGGTCCTGCAATGCTCTTCTAGCCTTTGTGATTAATAAATTGAATGAATTGATGGGAGGGGCGGGGACTTTACCTATATATAAACGTGATCGTGATGCTTTCTACAGGGGTTACTACATACGAGGTCTTGTCCAACCGGCTAGGGGAAGTTCTTCCTTTCGAGTTGGTCCTCCTGAACCGCTTCCACCGCTAAGACCGGTTCGCAAGCCCGATAAATATTGCTTTGCGTTTCGTAATTTGTTGCTTGTTTTAGCTTCGATTTTGATTAATTTGTGTCGTTGTCCTTTCTCTATGTATATATCGAATCTAAAAATCGTTGAGTGCTTAAATGTCGCTTTGTTTGGTGACTTAGTTTAAAATTGTTAGTGGCTAGCACTCGTAATTACTGCTTATAGATAGGCTGCCCTTAAGTCCTAATTCGTTGTTTGAGAAACATTGCATTTGCTTTTGTATTCGTTGCATTAATTTTAATCACTTCGTCTCGTCCACGTCGTCGTTGCTGTCAACGTTGTCGATTAAAGATATAGATTTTTTTTTAGTTTTTTAAGGTTCTAAAGGTTCTATAGGTTTTAGGTTTTAGGGATAGAGTAGAGTTTAGAGTAGTGTAGGAATACTTGTGTGTCGAATAGAGTTAGAGAGTTAGCTAGAGGAGAGTGTTCTGGAGAGATAGAGTGTGTGTTTAGCTACGGATTATAAGTACACTCTATAATGCTTTGAATATAGTACTCCTATCAGATTTTTGTTTTGCTAGTTTGTTAGTTTTGTTAGTTAGATAGATAGATTGAATATAGCTGCTAGAACTTCTTAGATTTCTTCAGGTTCTCGGAATGCATGTGGCATACTGCCTCATACACAAGGCTCTCTGTGTGTGTATTTTGTGTGTGTTGTGGGTGTACTTTGTGGAATGTATTTGTTTTTAGATCTTTTGGGTTTCGGGTTTCTTTAGGAATGTTCAACTCGCTTAAGCTAAAAGGTAGTACCATTTCGAGTTGCTTGGCAGGGAAGCTAGGGAAATCTATAAAAATGTATCCTTTTCAAGATTTCTGTAACACCCCTGGGAGTATTTTTTTTTTGTTTTTTTGGTTTTTTTGGTTTTTTGGTTGCTTGGCTGCCTAATGCGAATTTCTACAGTCTCTGTGTTACTCTACTACACTTTGCTCTTGGACGTATTGTGATGTATGTTTTCTCTTTCTATAAAAAACGTCTATCGGTTAACCTAGTTGTAAATGGTAACGGTAACTTTAACATTAACGGTAAATTAACTAACCAGCTAAGCAGCTTGCTGCAGCATTCTGTTCTCCTTACATGGCGTACGCTGGTCCGCCGCCACCGTTCGCGCCGCCGCCGCCCACCGCCTCCATCTTCACCCGCTCGAGGAACTCGTGCGGCGGCGAGGAGGCCATGCTGGCCCCGCTCTCGCTGTTGCTGCCGTCGTGCATGGACAGCGACATGGACATCATCAGCTCCTCCTCGTCCTTGAGGCAGGCCGACTCCAGGTGCTTGTTGAGGTACGACTTGAGGGCGAACGTCTTGTGGCAGCGCTTGCACTCGAAGTTCTTGTCCACCGAGTGGGTCTGCATGTGGGCCCGGAGGTTGGAGCGGTCGGCGAAGGCCTTGCCGCAGTGCGCACAGCCGTACGGCTTCTCGCCGGTGTGCGATCGCAGGTGTCCTTGCAGCAGCCAGGGGCGGGAGAAGAGCTTGCCGCACACGCCGCAGCTGTGCGACAGCTTGTGGGTGAGCACGTGCATCGCCAGGGCCGGCATGGAGACGTAGGCCTTGCCGCAGGTGTGACACTTCTTAGCCGACTGCGAGTCCAGGGAGCGGTGCGTCTGCTTGTGGCGCGACAGGTTCGAGGAGGTGGCGTACTGCTTGCCGCACTCCGAGCACGTGTACTTTGTCTTCTGTTGTTCCTGCGCCGGGACCCCAGCGGCAGCTGCCGTCGGATCGGCGACATGTTTTCTCTTGGAGCGTCCGTCGCTCACGAAGAAGGCCTCGTAGGTGTAGGCCACCGTCTTGGCCGCCGTTCCGGACCCCACCGAGCCGGCGACACTCTCCCCATCGCCCGGGGACTCGGGCGACAGCGACAGGACCTCCGGCTGGTTGGTGTTTGTGGTGTTGCTGTTCTCGTTTTGGACATTGCTGGAACTGGAGCTGGAGAGGCTGGCGTGACTGCTGCTCGCGCTGGAGAGATTGCTGGCCGGGCGCTGTTGTTGCAGCTGCTGGTGTTGCTGCTGCTGTTGCTGGTGCTGCTGATGTTGCTCGTTCACCGCACTGGCTGCTGCAGCCAGTTCGGCAATCGATGAGGTGCTGCGCAGATGCGCATGCGCCTCCAACGCCGCGAAGTGGGTGTGGTGCGGTGTGGCGTGTTGCTGATGCTGCTGCTGCTGCAGCGGCAGGTGCTGTTGCTGTTGCTGCAACTGATGTGGCTGCGTGGGCGGGTGGAAGGCCGTGGAGGCACTCAAATCCAGTATGGCGTGCGCCGCATGCAGGTCCTCCTCCGCTGGTATCCTCCGCCGGTATCCGTGCGCCGGCTTATCGTCCAGGGAGTACGGCCTGTAAATGTCCTTTTTCTTTGGCGGCAGCGACAACGTGGCTCCCGTACTCGAGAAGCACTTCCGTTCGCTGGTCGTCTGTCCGGAGGATATCGGACTGTAGCGGTCCCCGTTGCCGCTGGGCGAGCACGAGGGCGAGGAGGTGGTGGACGAGGGCGGTGTCTGGTAGGCGGCCAGGTGCTGATCCCCGCCAGCCGTCGCCGAGTTGGCCGAGGCGGCTGCCACCAGGGCTGTGGCTGCGGCACGGATAACGGTGATTTCGCTCTCCATGCGGGGCAGGTACGCGGTATAATGCAGCGGCGAGAGTTCGCGGGAGTATCCTGAAATTGGACGAAAAGGAGGGGTGGAAGGAGAGCTGGTTAGAAATCGGTGTGCAACAGCTGGGGGGTGGGAAAAACGCCCGAAATCGATTTGGCCCGAAAAGTATGCTACGAAACCCGAATCCCTCGAAGCGGGCCTCAGTTTTTTCCACAAAGAGTCCTTTAGCCTCGGAAGTCCCATATTAATTTTGTTTTCCAACTGCCCAAATTATCAAGTTCCTATAAGAATTCTTTTTATTTGCCTTTAAAAAACTTTACGCACAAATTGTTTGGTTATGGCCTTCTTGGGCTTGGAGTCGGTGAGCAGAGGCCAAGTCGTTCCGAATTATGGCTCCCTTGCGCTTAATTCCGATTACCCGAAAGGCAAACTGAGAAAGGTCAGCCTAAATGTCATTAGGAAACGCCTTACGCTTAATATAATAATTACTCCTGACATCCTCTTGAGTTGCACAAGGTTTTCAACTCTAATTATATTTACTTCTCGGCTAGTGGTTGTGGTGTAAATATTTTATTATTTGAATTGCTTTAAAGAAAATGTTCCTAATCATCCTATTTTAATTTCATGTAGTTCCTGCCTAGTCTAGTCAAAGGACTACCCTGCAAAACGGTTCCATTTTAAACGACTCCCCATCAAAGTCCCAGGGAGTAGGCTATGCAGTTGACTGGCCGGAATCGCAAACAATATTGAGTGACAACAAAGGCAATTAAATTGATTCGGAATTCGGAATTGTTTCGCAATCGCACAATGGCCACATCAATGACAGCGATTACGTGCGCCCCCTCGCTTCTTCCTGCCCCCTCTGCGAGCTTCCCCAAAACTTTTCCCAGAAGGGACAGGACGAAGGGTGGACTGGATGGACTGGCTGGACAGGGTGGACGGGGTGGATGGGTGATGGGTCGCAGGGCAGGCGAACTTACCGTTGTAAACAGTGCCGGCCACTCGCGTCGCCGCCTCCGGGGAATGGGGCGGCGGACTGGGGGCCGTTGTACCCGCCGTGGGCGAGCTGGGACCCCAGCACTTGGCCGTCGTGGTGGATGTTGCCGTCGTACTCTCGATGCTGCCGGCTCCACTGTGCTGGGTGGCGGCTGCTGCCTCCACGGATGCCGTTGCCGTTGCTGATGCTGTTGCTGCTGCCGCAATGGCTGCAATCGTTGTGCGTTGCTTTTCCAGTTTGGTCAGATATTTGTCGCCCACCACGTCGATCTCTTCGTCCTCGTCCAGGGTGGAGCGTCTGGACTTGAGGTGAGGCGTCTCCTCGAGATCCCTGGAAGAGGCTGTGGGTGGCTGTGGCTGTTGTTGTTGCGGCTGCTGTTGCTGGCCATTGTCCTCCGGCCGATCCAGCCAGGGATAGGCCTTCCACTTTTTGGCAATCAGGCAGCGTGGCATGTTTCTGATGTGAGGGGACGTTTGGGGTTCCAGAGTAATAGAAATAGAGGTTCGAAGGCTTAGGGTTTGCTTGTTGGCTTGGCTAGTTAGATCCTGGAGTGGAGACCCAGTTTAGAGGCTAAGTGCTGAAGCGAGTGGCGAATTTCGAGCGAGCAAAGACCGTCTCAGGGGGTGTTCTTGTTGGTGGCAAAAGCGGAAAGGAAACGTGACTGGGGTTATCTCGCATGGAAAATATATATAATATATATAGTAATATAATATATAGAGTTTGGCTCGCCGAAAGTTCTCTTAGAGTTTTGACAGGATTTAGTAGGTTACAGGTCCTTCCCTATCAGGCTTCTTCTGGCATTTTCCGGCTTTTCGGCTGTGTCCTGCTCCGTGTCCTTCTTGGTTAAATATTCTTCATAATTTGCATGTTATTGTAAATTGGTATATTTTCCCGTTTTTGGGGGTAGTAGGATTTCAGTGGTAGTAGGATTCCTCGGGTTTCACAGCCACTTCACACATTTCGACGGCGCTGGGTGGTCTCGTGCCGGAGTACCCGTCATTTGCCGGAGTGTCCTTTTTATATTTTGAGGCTTTTTTGTTCTGTGTCGTCGGATGGCCCGGAGTTCGTTCTGCCTTTTTGGCCAGGGCCAACGGTATTTTTTTGGTCAGCAGGAGAAACGGAAAACAGAGCGGAGAAAGCGGAGAAAGCACACACACGGACACGTTCGCGCTGAGTTTTCTGGCTGCGTGTGGCTTATCGATTTTTACATTTGCGTTTACGTTGGCGTTCACGTTTACGTTTTGTTTTTACACGAAATCGACTCAAAACATGGCTTTCGGGGGGGATTTCGGCTATATCCTTTGGCTCCTCGTCGTGGTTTGGGGGCAACAATTTCAAAAACCAAAACTTGATCGATGCCGAGAGTCAAAAATAAATGGTTTGTTTTTGTGTTTAGCAAAACGGAAAGTTGAGACAGTTGAGTTGTAGTTGTAGTTGCAGTTGAGTTTCAGTTTTGGTAAAGGTTAAAGTTAAGGTTGACGCGAGTTTTGAGAAGAGTTTAGTTTTGAGTTGAGTTGTTATTATTGTTGTTGTTGTTGGTAGTGAAAAAATTGATTTAGGAGAAAATATAATATTATATAAGATAGAGAAGAAATGCGAACGAACCGAACGTAAGCAACTCTTGAATGCTTATGAGAGTCACTTGGGTCCGACGTCGGGCTTATAAGGGTGGTCCACCCTCCGACTCGAGCCGATCGGCGTCGAGTGGCAAGCCGATTTCACCCGAATCGAGCCGAACGGGCGGCGAGAGCGCGCTAGTGGAACGCAGGAGAGCGGAACACAGCCCCTAAGTGCCAACCCCCAGAAAGGAAGCGTAGCTGTTGCTATTGCTGTTGCTTGTCCTGGGGGCTGTTACGAACGAAGGAACTGCCAAAAAAACAATCGCACTTTCTTTAAGAGGGGATAATTCCTTCAAATAATAGTTTTAAACTTTTAAAAATAGACAGAAAGGCTCATTAAATGTATAACATATCCTTCTAGCTTAAGAAATTACCCTAAACCCCTATAAAATCGTAACGTGTGCTACCTCCCTTCACGACAGGCAACAATCAGGAAGTGTTTCATTCTCAATACATTCCTCGCTGTTGCTTCTCCCATTTCGAAATTGTTGCGCCTCTCTGTCTCTCTCTCGGCCTCTCATCCCATTATCCTTGCCCACCCCACCCCGGCGCTCCCCATCCCTCTCGTCGCATCCTTCTGCTCACAGGACATACCTGAATTGGCTCATGGCTCTTTGGCCCTTTGGAACTCAAAGTTTTTGGCTCGGGGCTCTTGGCTCTTGGCTGTTGCGGAGCTCTGCTTCAGGCTCCTTTTCGTCCTGTTTCGTCCTGGCACATCATGGGGTGGATTTTCGCCACGTCGTGCACAGAATGTGGCAGTTGTGCCGAGTTAATTGCTGTTGCATTGCATTTGTTGCTTGGCTCTGATTTTCAACAAATTGCCAGAGACTGGGCTGGGCGGGGTAGGTGTGTGCTCGTCCTCGTAGGGAGCGACTCGGGCCTGGGTGTGATTCTCGAAAGGGTGCGGGTATGCAACAGTCCTTGCTGGTCCTTGGCCCTAACTCAGTTAGTACAAGATAAACAGCTCAAACTAACTTCTGTCGTCCTTTCCCCGAACGTCCTTTCTCTGCCAAACAGAAGGCCCCCCACACCACACCACACCCCTTTCTGGCTGCTCTCCACTGGCCATGAATAAGTGGTTTACTTTGCAGATCAAAGGTCGGGATATGAGCCCAGGACTCAAATCGGTTGATGATTAATTGTGGCTCCTGCAGAGTTTTCTTTTGATTGACAGCTGGACGTAGAGTCCACCAAGTAGAGTCGGGCTTACTATATATCATAAAAACTAGTACTTTTTCTGGATAGATTGGAAAAGGATCTGCCCTTCATAGTTCAACCTCTGTTGAGGTTGGAGTAAAAATTAATAAACTTAAACTCATAAAATTATAATTGCAATGTGGATAACCAGAGCAAATGAAAATAAAAAAGTGCAGCCAACAAAAAGTGTTTTTTCGCTACACTCTGCTCTGGGAAATAAATAGCTCACCATAATAGCTAGACAAAATCTTTTAAAGAAACAGACACTCTGCCAAGCTCCCCCATATAATCTCTCCGCATTCATAGCCAGTCCGACGCACACACAACTAATTAATTAAACTGTACGGGGGACGGCGAGGGGCTTCAGCTCCAGCTTTGCATAATCAGACACTTAAATTACAAAGTTCTTAACCTTTTAATTAGCCAGCGACAACAGACAATTTGTCTGCTTCAGACAAGCTTAGGCGGCCCAGAAGCCAGGAGCCAGGAGCTGGGAGGAGCATAAGGTCCTGCTGCAGCTTGAGCTGCACTTCCAGTGGCAGGACTACTGTCGGTGGCAGGACTTTTAAAATAATATTTTTCATCGGAAATTTCATTTGGGTCCTTCTATGGTATCCCTAGCGACCCACTTCCTGCTCCCACGTAGCAGATGTAACCGTTTTCGGCTTTCTATGGTTTCATTGTTTAAACTATTCCGAATGTTTTGTGGAAAACCAAGAAGTGCCCGGCGATCTATCTGGCCCATCCATCTCCGGGCCTGTCAGGAGACACAACGACCTCCTCGGGCATTCCTTGAAAACGAAACGAAAGCCGTTGGTATGTAAATATGACGACGACGAATGTAACGTATAGACCATCTGTGGAATTTGGCTGAACTAATTATAAAAATTTAATAAAAAAAAGGACGAGAAATGGGGTTCGTTTGCCCACAGCCTGGAGGCCTTCAAATTGAAGCCCTAAATATGCCCATGTCCAGCCCAACCCAGGTTGCACTGAGAGAAATTTAAGAGATTTTAAAGGTGGTTTTTTGTTGGGTGCACAACTTTATTTTAAAGTTTTCTTAAAAGGTTCTTTCCTTATAAATCCCTATCCTTGGTCATTCTTATCCAAATTAAATTACCCCTTTTATTAAAAAACATAATGAAAATAAGTGGTCTATATTATTTTAATATTTTTCTTAATAAACCCTAGTTGTACCCACTATTTGTTCTCTGTGTACATCCTTTGTAGGCACCCGCCCTGTACTCCTTGCCAAATGGTAATCTGCTTTTCCAGCCAACAGACTTGAAGGCGATTTCGAACAAGGATGCGCTTTATGCGGCCCACGACGAAATTGTTGCGCTTCGTTAGCCGCGCACCTCTTCCCCCTCCCCTCATTTTTGACATTCAAGGACCCCGATCCTTGCTGGATCGCCGCTGGCCACGCTCGCTGGCACACTCCCTCTCATTTCCATTTCCACCTCCAGATGTTTGAGGCAGTGAGGCGATTCAAGCTCTACGGCATATGGCTTTCACTTGGAATTGGAGTTGCCGGCGGAGGAGGAGTTGGAGGTGGCATTGTCCTGGCTAGCGAATCGGAACCCGGGCCACGCGTCACGACAGGAAAATATAGAATATGGACAGAGGATGTAGAGTAGGAAAAGCGACCAAATTATGCACCCGGCCTCATAGATGGGAGGAGTGGGGTGCGCTCACCTGGAACAAGGACAATATGGTTAATGCAGCGACAGCCTTTCCTGTTTCGTGTTTTACGACTTTAACGAGTCCTCGGTGCGGTGCTCTGCAGTGTGCGGTGTGTTCTAAGTTTGTGCTATTAGTTTGTGTTTTTGTTGTTGCTTATTTCGTGTTTTATACCCTGCCAAGGGGTATTTTTAATGTCCCTGATAGTCCAAGGAGGCGGGTGGTGTATCTTACACTTTAAGGCACAACAGGGGCTGGGTAACTTGATCTTCCTGTATAGATAATGGTTTTTTATAGTTTTTAAACTACATTACATTGCAGTCTAATTGCTTGAAAGTGTAAAAAGTAAATCCTTTGGAGTTACTACTTATTTTTAGTTATTTTACAAGAATGTTTAAATATTATACTAAAATTTAGTATAATATAATATTACTAAAATTTAGTATAATATTTAAGAACATAGCATATGATGGTTTACATTAATCCCTGCCATCTTAAAACCTAGACTAGTTTAGTTTCAAACTTGTACATTTTCAGCTGCAACTAGTTTTCCCTCCGAATTAGTTTAAATAGTTTTTAATGACAAAGTTGTTAGGGTATCTCGAGTTTCGGACCATTACCCCTGAGTCGAAAATTTGTGAAAGGGGGTGGTGTGTTTGGGTTTTTTTTTAAGCTAAAGGTGCACCGCAGCCCCGTTGCGGGGATTCAGTTGAGCGCGCCGGCGAGCGTGCAAAAAGCAGCAGGAAGTGCTCTACAAGTGCTGCAGCTGGCCCAGCTGTTTTGAGTTATTCGTTTTGTTTGTGGGTGGGTGTGGGGACACCCGGCACCACCCACTCCAAATCCAATCTAAAGTCCACACACCCCACTTGCAGACGCCATTTGGCTTGTCAGCTTGCCAAGGGCTATTTGGCGTTGCCTAGCGAGTTGAATTGCTGGCCCTAAGCGCACCTCCAGCCCACCAACCCAGCAACCCACCGAGCCACCAACCCTCCATCCCCATACCCCTCTCGCTTGCTGCTATTTGCCGTCTCGCTTGCACGCGCCGACTAGAAGTGTGACGCTCGCGTGGCACGGAAGTGAAGTGACGGCGGCAGCTGTAGCCGAACTATAACCAGAAACTGTTGATCCTTCCTCCTTCCCTTGTCCTTTTGCACCCAAAACAGCTCCGACAAACTGCCAAAGGGAGAAGCAAGCCAGCGGCAATGCTGGAACTGGAACTGAAACAGAAACAGAAACAGGAGCGATGGCAGTGGCCCTGGCAGGAGCATGAGCATGAGCCGAGCCACAGAAAGGATATACCTATCCTTTTTTCAGAGCCCAGGCCAGCCAGGTGTCTGGCATGCTCATTCCGCCTTCCATTCAATGATGTATTAAAGTGGAAACAGCACGAGAGTACCAGACTGAGTCTGGGTCTGATTCCGAATTCTATATTATGCATGCCCTGCCAGGTGAGGGTATCAAGGATTTTCTCAGAAAATTGCTCATTTCATTCTACTTTTTGAAATATATTTAAAAGTTTTTAAGTATTTTCGAGTATGCTATAGGCAAATGAACAATTCAATAAGTACTCAGGCCAAATAAATGTTTTTTTGTCGACTAAGTTCTTTCTCATTTTATTCAAACCTTTTTCAGGAGGAATATCTTTATATAGATAAATATATATAGTTGTTTTTAAGAAAACGTTGTCTATATTGAAGAAATGTTGAATCTTCTAAATCTTGCAGCTTCTAAATCTTGCTTGAGCTGGCTTTTAATTAAGATCCTTGTACAAATAGGCAACAAAGACTCAATTAAACTAATGACTTCTGGACCAATAGGCTCGAATAAAGAATTTTTGAAACCCCATTAAAGGCCAGACATATGTTTAATCGAGTTATTGGGTCTCCATCTGAAAAACCATTGAATGCATAGATCTCTGGTGATGCAGAATCGAAACAATTGGAGAGTGGCATATGTAAAACGGGCGGCAAATCATGCAACATGTAATTTATAAAGCTTCCTTTTGATTACCAGAATCGTTGGCCTTTGTTTCCGTGAGATACGAATCCGTATCCCTATCCGCATCCGTATCCGAATGACTTGTGTAGTTTATGGCGCCATAAACCAATCAGTTCGGACTGAC